CCCGCAGCCCCACCGTGAGCCGTTAGCCTGGTTCTTTTCCGTTTCGCCTTTCTTTCCTCAGTTTCTCCCTGCCATCTTTATAAATCTCCCTCGGAGGAGGAGTGTCCGCGCGGGTGGAAGTCTGAACACAATGCAACCTGAGAATTTCTGTCACTCTCCGCATATGCTCCTAAGTGCTTTAATCCCAATTAGGGGCGGCTGACACACGGTCCTATTCATTCCCATCAGCTCTTGAATACATTTGCCTAGAAATGAACTTCACAAATAGAGGCGCTCCTAAATGTGCCCAACAGCAAGGAAAATCGAATTGAGTGCGGGCTCATTCGGCAGCGGCCGGCAGAGAAGCGCTGAATGTGGAGGTGCCCCGAGACATTGCAATTCAGCAACACGCTCGCTGACTTTTCTTTGCACCATGTCAACCGAAAGAACCAAGAAATAAGTTGGGGAACTCCGGTTAAAAGGCAACTTGAGAAGAACTCTGAATACTTTTATTGAGCCGTTTCCAATGGAAGACTTAAGAAAACAACAAAACAGGCATCACAAAACCCACCAGCGGTGTCCAGGCTGCGTCCTGATTTCGAGTTTGGAGGCTCCCGGCAGCCGCCCACCCACCGGCCACGCAATTAAGGGAAAAATGGCCACGTCGCCGGCGTGTCATCTGGTGGCGTTCCCAGCGCCAGTTGCCGCCGCCCTATTCAGACCCAGCCTTAATGTCCCACCCGCGCCTAGGGGGCCGCGCAGCTGGTTCGCGCTGACCTGCTCGCTTGGCCAGCGCCGACACCGTCTGGGGGCGCAACCCGGGCCACCTCTGGCCCAAACACAGCTGCAGACCGCGGGGTTTCAAGGCCCTTGCCTCTCTCCGGGCCTGGCCTTGGATATCTGACCTCGCTCCGCTTCCTCGATACCTGGGTTTGGGATTCTGAACACCAGCACGGGATGGGGTGTTCGGTGATTCCCCACTACCCGGGTGCCCTAGGCTGAAAGCTCCAGGGGGAGCCAACTCAGTCCCTCCTGAGATCCAAAGCCCGAGGTCCTTTGCGCAGCGGAGTCGGGCAGCCCCCAGAGGGCTGAGAGCTGCCATTCATCTCAGTCCCAAAGTCTTTCGGAGGCTCTTTTCCTCTAGGCGGAGTCCAGTTTGGTCACACGTGCTTGGCGCCCGCAGTATTGCTAGCCGGGCCTCCGCGTTACAGCGGGGGTCGCCCCCTAACGTAGCCAGGTTTGAAAGCAGCGCAGCGGTTGGACGCAGCTCCCTGCAGCCTGCCGCTCCGGCCAGCGGCTGCTCCCGAGCCACCCAGGCTGGTACG